CGCCCCCCCCCCTCCCTCCCCAGCCCCGCACAGTCCCCTGCGTCGTCAGACTTGGGTAGTCTTCCGTAATACGCTCAAGGCACTGACGGTACTGCTTTTGCGTTCCGAAATTGCTTTCTGCAAGAGAGAGCAATGGTTACTGCCTCCTTTACGAGAGTAGGCCCTAGGGAATTATTGACTTCCGGCTTTGATTACCAAAAAAGTATTATATTTTCACGATCATTAAAGAAAACGAAGAATGAAAGAAAATCATCATAAATTAATTAAAAACTTAAAAAACTTTAATAATACTCATTTCATATTATAGCGAACAAAATAATGTTTTCCAAATTGCAGGAGATATTGAAAAAGGTGGATCAAATTCAAATTGCTGTTGGGTTTGCTATACAATGGCAGGTTTGCCTTCGCACTCTCTTCGTGCATTTTTCTCAAATAGGTTAACGTCGTTAACGTTGTCTGTTGACACACCGTTGTATGTTACTTTCAACGCGTTTCGATTTCCTATGCTACCACTGACAGTCTACTGACAATTTCGGGACGACTGAAGCACGCTGATCTCAGCAGCGATACCGTCAGAGAGTATCGTCAGCGCATTTCGGAGGACAGCCTTAGCGAGTGGCTTCGCTCATCTCTAGATTCGTACTATGATTTTGATAGCGGCACAAAATTCTACTATACCGGGAGCGTCATGTCACGTCTCTCGTGTCAACTTATCCAGCGAAGTAGCCATCGCATGGCCCGTTTATTCCAGCTCGACTCGGGGATCCAACGGGAGAATAGAGAGAATCGCGATTAACAGCGCGTACGAGAGACCGCAGTTAGCGTTAAACGAAATTTCGCGTTTGATTGTATACGAGGTTTCTCACGTCGTTCTCTTCGACGAAGCGTACCGTAGTAGACCGCAAGGAAGCTCTTCAGTTGTATCCGCAATATCTCTACTCGAAGATTAGCGCGAGTCGATATCCCAAGCTCGCGCGTATGTGTTCTGCTTGTCACGGCACGCTAGTCATCGTTAAAGGCGACACTGAGCAAAAAACAGAAATTGCTTTATCTCGACAGCACAGCGACACGACGATTTTCCCGTCAGTGGCTTCGAGTGACCGACGATTATGTTTCTCCCAGACAGCGCAGAACATTCTCAGAATCATCCTGAGCACAATCAGGCTAATCTCGTAGGACGCGCTGCGCTCTGTCTGAGTTCGCACCTCTCTTTCTTTCTTTCTTTTTTTTTTTTGTAGGCGCCGTTAACGATGCCGAGTGTGCGGTATGATGTGGATCTCGGCACAAGTTATTGGCCTATAAGAAACGCGTTAGCATGATCGACATACACTGCAATCCCGACGATAGTAATAAATAACGTAGTAGAGAATCTTTTAGAGAGCAGCGCGAGACAGACGCGGCCGCTGGCTTTGCTCCAAATAGAAATGGTAAGAAAACGAGATAGAGGACACCGCCGCGTCTACGATGAATAATCGTCCGATCCACTTAAGCGAAAACTGGAAAAACTCGAGAAAACTTAGATATGACCACCAACACAAGAAACCTATTGTATCACATTTCGAGAAATATATGTATTTGTTATTGTTTTAATTGAAACCTGTTCTCCCCATTCTGTATCCCCGCCGGCTCCGAATTGTATATTCACTGAACTCAAGATCAAACAAGAGTTCCACCGCGACCAGGATTTGAGAAGGTTGTAAGGGACTCAATGTCGCGTTTTCAATGAACCACTCATAAGTTTACTATTTATTCAACAACAAAAAATTCTATATATTTATTTTACTACTTAAGTAGTAAATATTAATTTGAGGCAAAGTTGAGAAGGATATATATATATATATATATATATATATATATATATATATATATATATATATCCATTAATGTAACTGAATTTTCTGTTACTTGTTAATCGAAAACTCGATTGTAGGAACAGAAAGATTCCTATAAAAAAGTTTCTACTCACAGTTATGTATGAAAATGCATGTATTAAAAATTAAACAATCAAAATCACTAAAATATCATTGTGATAATTTTCTATCAATTTAACAAAAAAAAAATAAAAAATTAAATTTTAGCAACAATATAAGATGCTATACATAGGAAAGAAGAAATTTAATCAACTAAAGCTACAAATTATGATTTTAAAAATCACGTAAAGATTTATTTAAGCAATTAGAAAAAAATCATGCAAAAATTAGTCAATTTTATGAAGATAATATACATCTTTACCTGCAAAATGTTCAAAGCGTAAATGCATACAGCAATGGAAGCATTAAATAGTAAACATAAGCTGTAGCTGGAATCAGCTGATGATATCGTTGCAATTATCAGACCGACTGCTGCTAGCAGTTCTGGTAGTTTACCGACGTTTGCGCGCTGCGATCTTCCATACGCCATACGTCATATATAACTACACATATCGGTTTAGAGTTGCAGTATCGTTGCAACTGCTGCCAACGTCGGATACAAGGTTTTAAATCAATTTTAAGTGTACATCAGTATATCAAATCTGCTGACTCATTTTATAGCAATTTTTGTATTGAATCATATTCATAACATCAATATTTAATCTTTATCGGAATGTTGAATGTTTTTATGCAAATGTGTCTTTCGGAATATAGCGAGAAGAAAAATTATCGCGGTGAAATCAACTAATTTTAGAAAGGCTCGCTTAAAACACAGTTATCAATGAAATATTTTCCCCGTCAAGGTATCGAGTGCATCTCTCCAGTAAAATGAACTACTTTCTAATTACTCTCGCCGTCGGTTTGGCGGTCTTTGCTTTCACGAGATATTGCTGTTTTAACACGACCAAGCCTCTTCCGAAGGTGACGGAAACTTGGTGGACACCTGGTACCGAAAACCTTGCCGATAACAAGGTTAAACCGTTTCACATCAGCTTCTCCCAACAGGTATTTCTTAATTAGCCTGATTGTTTGTACGAATATTTACGAATAAACTATTCTCAGATGGTGGAAGATTTAAAGTATCGGCTGAAGCATACTAGAGACCTAACGCCGCCGTTGAAAGACGTTGCTTGGACTTACGGCATTAACACAGATGCTTTGAACAAACTTTTGAACTATTGGGCAAACGATTATGATTTCCAAAAACGCGAGGATTACCTAAATCAATATCCTCATTATAAAACCAACGTACAAGGTGAGAAAGGATTATTTGCGTGCAAAAATACGGTCGCACTCGCGTACGGTGTGCATGTTTGTATGGTGTGTGCGTGTCTGTGTTCAGTTGAAAAGCCGTTAGAACATGATTATAGTTCATTTAGAGCGTTCAAGAGGAGTTCAAATGGATCATAATCAATCAGCTTGCAACAAGCTACGCTTCAGTTTCGACTGGGTGCGCAAGGAAAACATAACTCCGTTAATATAACAGAATTTTCCGGGCCAATTAAAAATTCGATTGTAGGAACAGAAAAATTCCTATTAAGCAAGTTCCTATTAAGCAGTTCAATCTGCTCAATTCCTACCTATATATATACTGTTATCTATTGTGTTGTACTCTTATCTATTAGTTATCTTCAATTATCAGTTCTTTTCATTATTAATTATTCTCAGTTATCTCAACCTCGGATTTTGGTTGTATTTGAATATTCAGACGAATATAGGAGCTACTGATTTCCCGAATTGTTGCAGTTTTTATAGAATTTTTATTTGCAGAGATTTCGATTCTAAATTTGATTTGTTAAATGGACCTGTATCTTTTTCTATATAGTACGTTAAAATTGGTTGAAAGACCAATATAACGATATAAAGTTTGTTGCATTTGAACAAATGCAACTATATATATATATATATATATATATATATATATATATATATATATATATATATATATATCATACATGAAAGTATATGTAAGAGAGACTAGTAAAGAGGAATGAAAGAATGAGAACCTGGGACTAAAAACCACATGTCTTCTGCATCGAAATACTTGAATAATTAATCAAGTGTTCTTTCCAACATACGTAACAGTTCACCATTGTGCAAGTCAATTTTAATCACATCTCTCTACACATAACTTCTCTCACACATACGCTCATACATATGCATATATATATTGTTACGCTCACACCAACACTCGCGCAAGTGTTCGGAAGAGAATAAGCAAGCTGGTTTTACAAAGAACAATAAGCGTGTATTTACAGCTCTACAATTAGATATTACACGAAATCATCGCGAGAAACCATGACACGTCAGCTTGGTTCAAAAACTTGTGTCCAAATCTCCTATTAGCAGCTGTTATTTTACTTCCCTTGACAACCCATCGTCAAGGAGCGCTTGTCATCCTAAACTATCAATCGGGTGCTTTACAAATCAGTAAAGCGCGGACGCAACAATATATATATATATATATATATATACACAGGATGTCCCGAACCTCCATAATGACCTTTGGTGAGAACGTAAAACGAATTGAGGTGAGCAAAAAAGTCCTGTGCCGTTTTGCGATATTCGCAATAGTTTTTGAGAAATTAATTATTTTGTCTCAACAAATCAGCGTACAGAAAGCGGCAACGGAAAGAAAGACTCGCATCTCGCCGTGTCCCTTCGCCCATAGCTACGAGCATAGCGAGTCGTGATACACTGACTCATGTAACATGACATATCCGTGTGCCGAATCGATGCTAAATCGAAGCGTGTCGCCGCTTCGACTACATACATATTTGATATAGAAGTGACTAGCGAGCGGCGTGTAACACAAAATCGTGTGCCCAAAGATAATCTTTATCTTCAAAGATAATCAATTATCTTTCGTTTTCTCGACGTCGTGGTAGAAAAGTGACAACGCGCGATTACATTTAGAAGATTATTTTATAAGACAGCTCACATTAAAACCGTAATGTGTTCCTGTGATTAAAAAAAATAGAAAGAAAGAAAACGATCGAAACTGAAAGGATTTGCAGAGAATCTAACTGTTTTCTATCGAAATGGTTTCTCTATCGTATCCTTTGCATGTATTCGCAAGAAATGAAATCGTTTTCTATCGTGCTCTTTAAAAGCAACGTATTAGAAAAAACATCCATTCTTGACGTAACAACTTGATGATAGATTATGATGCACGCCTTCTATCGTGATTATATATATGGAAAATAATATTATATATGTACATATAATTACGATAGAAGGCGTGCATCATAATCTAATCGTCAAGTGGTTACGTCAAGAATGGATGTTTTTCCTAACACGTTGCTCCTAAAGAGCACGATAGAAAACGATTTCATTTCTTGCGAATACATGCAAAGGATACGATAGAGAAACAATTTCGATAGAAAACAGTTAGATTCTCTGCAAATCCTTTCAGTTTCGATCGCTTTCTTCTTTCTATTTTTTTTTAATCATAGGAACACATTACGGTTTTAATGTAAGCTGTCTTATAAAATAATCTTCTAAATGTAATCGCGCGCTGTCACTTTTCTACCACGACGTCGAGAAAACGAAAGATAATTATCTTTGGGCACACGATTTTGTGTTACACGCCGCTCGCTGTGTTACCTCTACATACATGTATGCAGCCAAAGCGGCTGCACGCTTCGATTTGGTGTCGATTCGGCACACGGATATTGGTCTGCTCTTTTTAACTGCACTGCTAAACTAGTGTAATAAGTTAAAGTGAGATAAATGTACTTTTTCTCACTCTAACTTATTGCACCAGTTCAGCAATGCAGCTAAATAGAACAAAGCATATGTCATATGCTTCAGTGTATCACGCCTCGCTATGCTCGTAGCTATGGGCGGAGAAATGCAGCGAGATGTGATTCGCGAGTGTCACGGTCGCACGTCGGCCGAAGGCATCTTTCTTTCCGCTGCCGCTTTCTGTACGCTGATTTGTTGAGATAAAATAATTAATTTCTCAAAAACTATTGCGAATATCGCAAAACGGCGCAGAACTTTCTTGTTCATCTCAATCCTACGTTCTCATCAAGGGTTATCATGGAGGTTCGGGACACCCAGTATATATATATATATATATATATATATATATATATATATATATATATATATATAGTTGTATAGTTTACAACATATGATAAACACGTAAAAAGAATTAAGAAATTGTAAAATTTCTAATATGTCACCGAATTAAACAGGGCTGATTATTCACTTCATGCATATAAAGCCGAAAAATGTAGAAGGGAAGCGCGTCTTACCGCTTCTATTGTTACACGGATGGCCCGGTTCCGTGGTTGAATTTTACAAGGCCATCCCGCTGTTGACTACCGCACGGCCGGAGCATGACTTCGTGTTTGAAGTGATAGCACCATCCCTACCCGGATTCGGTTTCTCCAGCGCCGCCACGATAGCCGGTTTATCGGACGCCAATATAGCGATAGTATTAAAGAATCTTATGTTAAGGCTCGGTTTCGATAAATTTTACATACAAGGTGGCGACTGGGGTGCTATTATCTGCACTGATATGTCGATTCTGTTCCCGCAACAGTAAGTTCTCACATTCTAAAATTTATCGACGTTAAATTTACAAAGGCAGGCCACAGAATGGTAATGATAAACTTGAATGATAAGTTTCAACTCAATACTGTACCATGGCTGTGTGCATTAGTGCTTTAAACTTTTTGCAGGCGAAAATGTCATATCATTTTTATGAAATTAACTAATTTTTGCATATTTTTCCTGATAATTTAAATAAATATTTACATGACTTTTTATCATAATTTACAACTTTAAATTGAATTTCTTTTTTTTATGCATCTTATATTGTTGCAAAAGTCCAATTTTTCATTCTTTTTTGTTGTTAAATCGAAAATGATCACAGTGACATTTTAGAGTGATTTTCACTGCTTAATTTTTATTAGAAAAATAGGAATTAAATTTAATAAAAAATAACTGTGGTTAGTTTACCTGAACTCCGAAAAGTTACAAATATTAAGATCCTTTTCACCGTTTCCTATATATTTTTCTTTATTTATTTACTAATTTTCGTCAAAAAACTCCAGGCAGCCTCTTGTGGCCTCCCTTTGTTAGTAATGCCAGATATTAAACTGTAAACATTATTGTCACAAATCGTAGCGTTCTGGGTTTGCATTCCAATTTTTGCACGACAATTAGTATATGGAGTACGATGAAGCAGGCGATATACAGATTTCTTCCTTCATGGATATCACCTTTGGGAGATTGGAAACCACGAAAGACAATGAAACAAGAACTAATTTTTATGTTAGCCGAGAGCGGGTATTTTCATATTCAAGCTACAAAACCCGACACAGTCGGTACGTACAGTACCTTTTAACTTTATAATTATGTTGCGCATTTCAGTGTGCAACGGTATCTCGTTACAAACAAGTAATTAACATGCCAAACAAACAATCTTGAAAATGCAACGTGTTCAAGAAGTCGCTGTTTGTTGCAGGAGTCGGTCTAGCTGATTCGCCAGCTGGTCTGGCGTCGTATATTATCGAGAAATTTTCCACCGGCACAAATTACGCTAACAAGTTCAAAGTAGACGGCGGACTTCTGGAGAAATTCACATACGATGAACTAATCGATAACCTAATGATGTATTGGACGCCGAACAGCATGACTACAGCCATGAGAATTTACTCGGAATTTTTCAACAAGCATAACTTGGATACACAAAGCATGATTTGGTATGTTTTTGCGAACGTTTGCATTATCATGAGAGTTGCTACATACATATAATCAAGCGCAAACACTAGGATTAGTGTCTCATTTACAGGCGGCCAGTGACAGTGCCCACCGCTTGCGCACAATTTCCCCACGAGATCAGACATCATGCCACAAATATACTCAGGGACAAGTACACGAATCTCATACGCGTTACCGAAATGCCACGAGGTGGTCATTTCGCAGCGATGGAGGAGCCTGAATTGCTCGCGAACGATATCTGGGCCTCCATCGAGGAGATGGAGGCGCTAAAAAGAAAGAGTAAGATGGAACAGGATAAGAGTAAGAAGAGTGATTTATAATTTGCAGCGGAACTGAGAGAGAGTAGCTGCTGCATAGATTTCTAGTTGTTTTAGTTACGGACCTGGGGCGTTTGACTATATATGATTATGCAAACTGTACATAAGTCCAATAAAGAATACGGACATAATGTTAAAATTATATTCCTCTATTGTCATTGCGAGTTCTCGTATATAGAAACACTATTGCGGTAGATTAGTTCACGCAGGCTGAACTGATGCGTCATCTAGTCAAGACGATCATATTAATGATTCGTGAACGGTCTTTATAATCTGTTTTCGTACCCAGGATCGTCTTAAGCAGACACATTACTTTTTCAAACTAAGAAGACAATATTCAGGAGTTTAAATTTAAATAAAATTTAAAATTTTATATTTAAATTAAAAATAAAACACTACTAAGTGTACATATTTGGGTTTCATATGTATAATTAAGTAATATATTTGCATAATATATTTGTACAATTAAGTAATATATTCAGAAATTATAAATTACTACAAATAATACAATAATAAATAATTTATAATTGTTTTCTAATACAGATATATTACTCAATTACATATATAAAATTCAAGCATGTTCACTTAGTATAGTTTTCTTTAAATAAATTCTCGAATACTGTTACCTTTTTGGCCTGAAAAGGTAATCTGTTTCCTTTCTGGAAAATAAAAAACAGAGTTAAAAAAAAATCTCTCGCGGAAATGAATTTTTCCTGCGAGATATCGAGACATCTCCTTCGATCGTAAGTGACATAAAAACTACGCGAAAATCGAATTCGCGTCGATCAGAGAATTAAGAGTAGCTATAAAACACAAGGACATTTTTTAGATTCGAGAACCTGTTATGTATGCAAAACACTTAACTATATTATCAATACAAAAAAAGATACAAAGTTCATTGCCACCGCTCCACTCAGTACTCACGATTTTCCCCTGCCAGTTCCGACCGAGCGTATCTTGAACATTCGTACGCTCTTGCCAGTCGTACGCACTACGTCAGACGAGATAGACGCGCAATGTGGAAGACTACGACGGTGATCTTGGTGCTTACCATCGGAATAACTCAGTTGTTTCTGTGAGTGAAAATGTCATGTAAACTCTAATATCCCGCGGAGATTTCGCGCAGCAACGAGCTTTATACATGATGCGTTATAGCTCCGTGAGCCCCGTTTTTTACTCCTTTAGATGTTGTTGTCTTTTTTCCTACGTTAATAGCAAAAATATACAAAACGAATTGATGAATGCGACCGAGTAAACGCCGTTTTAAGATCCTTCATTCCCGTCCAGCTCCAACACGGTCATAGATGTACCGGAATTGCCGGAAACGTTCTGGGGTCCGGAAAGGAATAAGGAAGCATCGAAGGAAATACGGCCGTTTACCATAACTGTGCCAAAGTCGGTAAGAACTGTACCACGACAACTTGTGTGTTTATTTTCCTTGTTCGGACACACAATGTGCTCTTCAAATAATATTTCGCGCTTTATTACACAGCTGCTATTAGTTACCGGTTTGTTACGTAAGACACATCGTTACGTTGCAAATATGATAATACTAGGTGAATAAAAGACGCTTGAGTACTAATTAATAATCTATTATTTGCCACGTGACCCGCGATCGACTATTTTGCAATATTTTAACCTCATAAAATTTCATTATGTTAAACGCTCACTTTCGATTTCTCATCGTCCGATATCGAAGAGGAAAGTTTTCATTATCGGAAATAAACTAACAGAAGGCGCAGAGAGAGAGAGAGAGAGAGGAGAGGGGAAAGAGAGAAAAAATGTGCAAAACTATGCAATACATCAAACGATCAGTTACAAACATGACCTTGGCTGATACATGATCAAAATGGCTAACGTATATCGCGGTTTATATTTGTAATTAATTAAGATATGCACAGATAATTAAGTTAAGCGAAGATATTTCGTAATCTTTTTTTCCCGAACAACCACTGATACATATATTTTGTAGAACTTCGAAAATACACTAATTTAACATTTAGCGATAGGAAATGTTCTACTTTGCGCGCAAAAGGATTTTGAGAACCGTAAGCAGAAATGCTGCTGAAGTGAAAATGGATACGATGACTTTCACATTAAACGCGCTCTCAGTTCTTTAGTAAGATCGCAAAGGAATCATTCGCCTCGTTCATTTTTCATTATAGATACCTATAATGAGAGAAATTTTAACCTAGTTTTCAAGATTTTTTAACATAAAATAAAATCTTCTGCATGCGATTATTTGTTTAATTTTCTCAAAAATTATTAGGATTCCTTTACAATTATGTGTTTACAACTCTATATCCTAAAATACTGAAAAATTCTGAAATAGGATGTATGTCTAGTAATTAAAATGTCACTCAGTGAGAATAAATAGTTTGCAATATTATAATATTATAACATTATATATTATATATTATAATATTAATAATATTAAGTAATACATTTTATGATTCAAGTGAGTAACTACACGTAGAAAAACATATATACTGCATTCAAATAAATGTTACTTGTTTCAAGTATTCCATATGTTCATAATAAGCCATCAAATTTATTCGAAAGACATTCTAAACCTTAGTAAAATTTAACGCTTCAATTGGGAATATTAAATGAAAACAAAAATTCGACTTGCTTACTACATAAAGTCGAATCAACTTTCTCTTTAATAAAATTTTATAATATTCTCGTAAAGAAAATAAATTTTTCTTTTGAACATATAATGAGCTTTTCTGAAATGTGTGATGGGTATATTTTTAAATTATTATCAAGAAAACATATTCTTTGTTGAAGGTAACCATTACTTAAAACAAGGGAAATAAATTGAGAAATAAATTTTCTTAGCAGTAGAATGATACTTTTCTCTGCGTATGTACAGGTAATTCATAGGTTACGCAATTATGTCGGAAAAAGGTGCGTCACAGAAGGTTAGTCTAGCTTGACTCGCCTGTTCTAATATTACAGTTCAGTACTTAAGTATTTATCTACCTACCTACACACACACACACACACATTATGTAAAATTTCCTAGACAAATCACCTTATTAAAAAATTTCCTTACAATACCTACATTGAGAGAAAAAATGATTGATTCAACTAAAATTATATTGTTTTTAACCTCAACCACATTTTTTGGCTGCTCTAACACGAAAATGGTAGTAGTTACATACGTATAAAGTTATTACCACTAACATCATAATAAAATTTAATAAAAAGAAAGGTTTTCTCTCTCTCTCTCTCTCTCTCTCTCTTCACTATAACTTATTTCTCTATGCGACTAGTCACAAATATTCTAATATGCTGTTTTATTTTCGTATTAGTAGATTAGTAGATTATTATATATATTAGTGGATATTATATATATATATATATTAGTAGAACATTAGTAGATATGAGCAAAATGCACGTATCAAATTGTGTCATAATAAGCACTGAGTTTAGATAACGGTTAGAAATACTACTGCAATCTTTTATTTATAGATTAGAGAGAGAGAGAGAGAGAGAGAGAGAGAGAGAGAGAGAGAGAGAGAGGAAGATAGAGAACAGATCAATTTGACCGTGTAGGCAAAAAAGTTTCTAACGGATAATTTCATATTACACAAACAAGATACGACATTGGCGCACGTGTATGTACGGGTGCGCGTATTTTCTGTTATTAGAACGCGTATCCCCATTATTAATGAAAAGCTTCGATAGTGATAAGATGTTAAACCGCTAAATGAGCTCGGTGCCCTCGGCATCTTCTTGCGCCCGTGCGCAGCCGACCATGGAAATACCGAAAGGTATTATTACGACAAACGACCTTCTTTTTAAGTTACAATTTCTTCACTAAGGTGATCGATGACTTAAACGAGCGGCTGGCAAATAAAAGAGAATTAGTAGAGCCGTTGGAGGATGCCGCGTGGACTTACGGTATCAGCACGACGTCCTTAAAAGACGTCGTTGAGTACTGGCGCACCAAATACAATTGGACCGAGCGGCAAGCGCTGCTAAACAAATATCCTCAATATGTGACCAATATACAAGGTAACTAATTCACGGGACCGTTGCTCCTTTGCAGACACTATTAGTACACTGAGAGAAATTATACGATCAAAAATTAATAAACGGACATCTCCGAGCAAAATACGGATGAAGTTTTGTATCCGAACAAGAAACATCCGATGAGAAATATATTCATGATTTTTTTATCGGTTTATCTGATAAAATGCCATTATGATCAAAAGTATTTGATTTAATCGGATATAAAAATTCATCGGTATTTTGAACGGAAATATCCGTTTGTTAATTTTTTTATCGAATAATTCCCCTCAGTGTATATATTCGCGGAATTCAGGCGGATGAGTTGAAAAACTAGTATCGGTGGCACGCTCGTAAACATTCCTTTTATTTTCCGGAATTTTCTTCTCGTCTGTGTTATTAACGAGTGATAATAAGCACCGACCTAGATTATCAAACAGCTGGCCATGTAATCTGACCGTAAAAGTACCGTTACAAACATTTTCCGTCGCCTGACCGAAACACAACGCGCGGTTGCTTTGTGCAAAACAACTCAGGGACGACGTGAGCGTAGTAAAAACAAAAATCATGCGTGCCCAAAATATCGCCGGAATGTCGGAGCCGAAGTACGATGATTGCTCGTCGCTCCATGTGTACACTCAGTTGCATTGATGCTATACTATTTACCAGATCAATAGTCACTAAAAAGTTTTGACCAGTCGTGTCCGTTTCTAGCTGATCGTTTTTCATAACTGTTGATCCATTCGGCAAGCGGAAATGTGTCAAAACAGACATGTGTCAAAGTGACATTTTGACAGCTTGACGTTTCATACATACGTGTTAATAATAATTTAATAATTTAATAATTATAATTTTATACATTAACTTCTTACTTATCTTTTTTTAACATTCTTACTCTTTTTCTACTGATTGCGCATTACACGTTAGCGGATAACCTTATGAAAACACGTATGTATGAAACGTCAAGCTATCAAAACATCACTTCTATTTTGACACATTCTCGCTTGCCGAATGAGTCAAGAGTCATGAAAAACGATCAGCTAGAAACGAACACGGCTAAAACTTTTTAGTGACTATCGATCTGGTATAACATCAATGCAACTGAATATACCAGTCGCGCTCAGTATTGAATGTATATTTATTTAAATCGATGTGAAGGTTAAGTTTTATTGTTCGAGAATTGGTCACGTGAGATTCGTTTATATGATCTGTTCGATGAAGTTTCTTTTTGACCGCACTATTACATATTGTCGTATATATATATATGTTCTTCTATATTCATTTTATTATGGGGATACTAATTAAATGTGATATAATTATATTCCTGGTAGGGGGAAATATATATGCAGTTTACGTAGGTTAGTTATTGTCTACTCTAAACAAAAAGTTTTGTTAATAAATGCATTTGGTTGAGCATTCCAGTACAATATATGTATCAGATAAGATAATTATTATGAACCGTCCGATAATAATTACAAAATAATTAGTAAAGTAAATTCTTTATTTAATTGAAGCAATCGAGCAGTTTGTAAATAATATCAAGTAATTTACTAATAATTACTAAATGGTTTGACTATTATCAAAAATTTTTTGCACTGTGACTTTCATTATCATTAAAATTTTTTAATTAGGAAATATGCATAACAAAAATATGAAATATTGCTAAAGCAAACCTACCCGTTTTATAAGCAGCAAACTAAATTATTAATAGATTGAATAGTTTTCTAGCCATTTTCTGTTTTGTTTTCGTTCAATAAATGACATCAGTTTTTGCGCGCTTTTCGTGCGAAATAACTGTAAGAAAAGTGTTGCATCTTAATTAGGATTTGAAGTAGTTGAACTCTTCAGTTACTAGATAAAAGTTAACATTATTGTTCAGCAACTGTTCGAGAACTGCATTCAATTCCTACCAGAGATATTATTAATTAAACATATAATTTACGAAACTGGGATTTACAGGCTTGGACATACATTTTTATCATGTGAAGCCGCATTTACCAAAGGACAAAAAACTGAAAGTTCTGCCGTTATTATTGGTTCACGGTTGGCCGGGATCTGTAGTGGAGTTTCAAAAAATTATCCCAATGCTAACAACGCCACGTCCCGATAGGGACTTCGTGTTCGAGGTGATCGCACCCTCGCTTCCAGGTTACGCGTTCTCGCAAGCGCCTGTACGACCGGGAATGGCTCCGGCACAGGTAAAGTTTACTCAACAACTACAACAATCTCAAATCTTCACCATGTATGTTAAGATAAAAATACCAATTTTCAGGTACACACACATACATATAATTCTGAATATTCTTATTGTTTTGGTCTTTAAATATAAATATTTTAATCTTCAAAAGAATATATAGGGTGTTCCGCGTAAGACGTACGAAAAGAAAAATATAAGTAGAACACATAAAAGTGAACAAAAATTGTATAGGTCATTTTTCAAACAACCACGTAAAATTTCGAGATATTAATTAAAATAGTTGGGTATATCAGAGCGCGACGCGGCTGGCAAAAAATGGAAGAACGCACACGTACACGGACGCACACACGGAGCTACTCATTTCAGTATGCCAAATGTCCACCTCTCTAGCCTATAAGATAGGTCCGCGAGCAATCGTCCATTTTTTTCGTCGGCCACGGCGAACGACCTGCCTGCCATGTCGCCGCGCTCTGATATGCCCAACTATTTTAATTAATATCTCGAAATTTTACGTGGTTGTTTGAAAAATGACCTATACAATTTTTGTTCACTTTTATGTGTTCTACTTATATTTTTCTTTTCGTACATCTTACGCGGCACACCCTGTATATGTATGAATATTAATGTATATGTACGTATGTATATTCTATTTAAATATTTAAATATTCATATTTAAAGACCAAAACAATAAACATAGCCAGAACTAAGTACGTGTCCCGGACATTGACATTTTTATCTTACACTGAAGAAAAATTTGTAATAATCACATCAAGCGTAGATAATAATTATTATTTGCTACTAAATTATTTGCTATTACTTACCAAACCAATTAATTAATTGAACCAAATTAAAAATTTGCTTTACTAATTATTTTGCAATTATTACCAAACTTACTAACTATCGCCATACTTGATATTAATTATACTAAACGTTGCGAACTGAAACGTTCAACCAAATACATTTGTTCACTCTTATAAGACTTTTCTTTCTATGTATGCATCGTGCTTTTGAGATATTATCGCGAGAAAAACGATATTGACGTAAGGAGTCTCTATTCATCCTATATTTATCCTATAGAAATGCAAATCTTATTATGACACTTATTATTTCTTATTATTTAGTTCTTCTTGTTATTTTTAGATGTCTTTGGTATTTAAAAACCTAATGTTGCGCCTCGGCTTCAACAAGTTCTACGCACAGGGAGGAGATTGGGGCGCGATGATCGTTACGCACTTAAGCGCTCTTTATCCAGACAGGTACGTCTTGCCACTAACGATTCTTACGTAGTAACGCAACGAGACTCGACATATGGAAAAGCAGAGAGTAGATGATCGTTCTTTTTTTAGCATTCTCGGCAGCCATATAAACATGTGTCTGACTAAAGGAACGTCTAGCTTATTATGGAGATTAATCGGTACCGTTCTCCCATGGCTCGTAGTCGACAACGAACACCATGCTTGGATGTATCCTCTAGGCTCCCACTTCAGTCGGCTGCTGGAGGAAACGGGATATATGCATATACAAGCTAGCAAACCGGATACTATAGGTACTGTATTTATTGGGTGATTTCTTTAGAGAGAAGATCCAACAACAGATTGTAGAGTAGAACTCCTCAATTGCATGAATTGTACGATCAAAGTAAAAATTCTTTTATCAAAGGAACTGCGGTGGCGGCCTCACCGGTAGGATTGGCAGCGTATTTATTGGAAAAGTTCAGCACGTGGACGAATCCAAACTACAAATTCCGTTCTGACGGCGGCCTGCTCGAGAAGTACACTCTGGATGAACTTTTAGACAACGTCATGCTCTATTGGGTTACCAATTCGTTGACCACGAGCGTTCGAATTTACTCTGAGCAGTTCCGGAAAGATTACATGAGTAGCAAAATCGACGAGTGAGTCTCTCTCTCTCTCTCTCTCTCTCTCTCTCTCTCTCTCTCTCTCTCTCTCTCTTTCTCTCTCTCTCTCTCTCTCTGTGAACTATTTGCAAGAACTTTCCAGTATCAAAGGAAATTCTATTTAGTGAAGAAAACAACGCGAGATAGTTTCGCGTAGTATTTTTAATGACACATCTAATCTTCGTTTCTTGTTACTTTTAGCGTAATTGTCAACGTGCCAGTAGCGTGCGCAGCATTCCCTCATGAACTTTTGTACCAACCGGAGAGCCTTGTTCGCGACAAGTACACTAATCTGATACAATTTAACCATTTGCCACGCGGCGGTCATTTCGCGGCGTTCGAGGAGCCGGCTCTCTTGGCGAACGATGTGTTCGAGTTCGTGTCCAAAACTGAAGATATAAGAAAAAAGGCTGGTAAGGACAAGGCGAACACGGAGAAGAAGATAAAAGAGCCTACGAAAATTTGAGAAGATCCTTCGAAGGGTGGTGTTATTGTTAACTGAGTGATTAACGAGAGTGACTAGGTGTTGCATTGAGAAATTGACGGTAGAACGATGATTATATCAGAGCTATCGCCAACTCATCAATTTTACACTTACATGTGAAATAAAATTGTCTATATAAATGTTGTTTAAAGGCGTGTCAACCTGCTGAAGTTTCTTATCATCAAATGAGAAATCACTGATTTCGCTATCTTGTGCTTCACGTGTCTCGACCATGATAAGCAGCTTCCTATCTAATTCGCAGAACGCACGGCAAATAACGCGAAATGATATCTCGGAGTATGCGACATTACACGTGTAGTACGCGCATATTTTACCGCGCGTAATCGTACCGCAACCGACATTTCGCCTTGGCAATAATAAGAAGCTTTACCGATCAGTCTAATTAAACACACAACTAACAATAACTAAAACTACGCAGCATCGATGATGATAATGCGAAATTTATTTTGCAGATAACAATCGCAAGCGAGCGCGTGTCTTTAACGTATGACGAGCAGTTTAATGAATATCCTATTCCAATTACACAGAGCATGCGAACGAAAATAATAAGGCGAGCCTATGCGACACGAACCTGCGGATCTGCAGTTTCTGTCCTAATCCCATCTACCGCGATACATGACGTATCGTATCACTTCAAGATGTACGATTGTTTCACAGAAATTGCAGCGGTGTATCGCATAACGACACCGCACTTTCCGGACGTCCCAGCGCGGCGGATGTTTCCTTACGGATGCCTGTACTTTCTCGTGCGCGCATTGACTCTTGAAAATTGAGGCTTTCCGATCCCTGTACGCGGGCGACCGGACGGCTCTCGGCAGGCGGCAAGCAACAAAGGACCCTATAAGAACGCCGTATAGGAAGGGGCAGCGACAGACCCTCTCCGAGCCCTATACGTGATGCGCGTGATGCGCGCAAGCGTGCCGCGAGCGACGAAAACGAACAACCGTATGCGTTAGATGATAGTTTCGTGTGACACTCGCAACGATTCGAACCGCTCGATTCCGGCGTGCGTTCAGTTCCCGGCCGCAGGCGCGGAGGAAATTACACGTTACGCGCTGATTAAGAATTGTCCCGGCCGCGCCACGGTTCTATTTCGAGATCATCGTGTCGCCATCGCCATCACGAATGACCGTGAAAAGTCTTCGCCGCACGCATCTGTGAAACCGCCCCCTTGAAGGATCATCGAAATTAACTAGCGTTTCATAGATTCTTGATCTCTCATCAGGCCATTTTTGGAGAGAGAGAGAGAGAGAGAGGTCGCGATTAAATCTCGATTAACGTTGATGGGGAATTGCATTTGTCGGGGAACGCGCGTCTGATGAAACTTAACGTCATCCGGATCGGTAAGCCTCGGACACATCAGACTATCAGGGTGACGCCATAGATTTCAAGATTGGGTCTACACGACGATTGTTTGTATATTGTTTGCGCGATGCACGCACGGTCCATGTTTAGACCATGTTTTGTGTAAACAATGTAAACTACGTAGAATATTTTAAATTACACTAAAATATAAAAAATAATACAAAAAATGAAAATATATAATTATGAAAATATATAATATATAACATAAAAAAATAAAATTATAAATAATTATAATATATAATATTAAATAAATGTCTAAAAATTATGATATCTGTACGTTGCCGTATCTGTACGTGTGTAATGTTTAAAAGAGGCAAATTGCGTAAAATTTTTGCTTCATTCAGTGATAGATTGCTCAAATTAGTCTTCAAAGTAAGGACGTCGTCAAAGAACTCTGCGAATAATAACTTTTGTTCAGGAAACCGTTCACAAATTTTCATCAGGACTCCGAAGGAGTTAAGTGAAAATATAGACTTTTCTTAATTGCACAAAAGAGCCACAAGTTCCTTCAAACGACATCCCTAAATTACTTGTTGTCTACATAAGTGACACTTCACGCATAATTTACGTTGTCTACGCGTGAACGTGAGAGTATGCACGTAGACTAATTTACGCGTAAAGGCCTAATCCTGCATCGGACATTCCTTCGAGCGAGAGAAACGCTCGTTTTACGGTTGGCCCACCGGCAGAGAGTAGCAAACGCTTCAAACAAAGGGAGGGGGTGAACGTGTTATTTGTGGAGAGATTTAGGAGGGTTCCAAGCGAAAGATGTAGTCGGAGAGACCACAGACTGGGCACAGGCTATGGGCCACGACGACAGTCGTTCAGTTGTTCACGCGTTGTCGATGCGTTAGCTGCGCCGAGGACTAATGTTCGCGCGTTCATTTCTCCACGTTGCGCGATTCACCGACGGTCAGCATTATTACGCAACGTGCGTCGTCGAGTGGAGTAGGCAGTAAGTCAAAGCCGGCATCTGGATACTATCGGCTGTGTACGCGCGCACGTGTGTGTGTGTGTGTGTGTATGTGATGCACTAACGTGCTCATTTCCTCGACCAAAAATCTTCATTACGCTACGCGCGTCGCAGCGACGTGAACCGAAGACGTCCGATTGCGAGTGACGTTCTTACGATTGATAAAGAGATTATTTTCCTACTTTTTTCATTTTCAAGTGAGATAATTCCCTCGACATCACAAGAACAGAGCGACATTGTGCGCAAGTGTGCACTGTATCCGGCTGTGTGTCTCTTCTTTCAACGCGGAATAGAGCGCGCGCGCACGCACACACACACACACACACACAGCGCGATAAAAACAAATTTGTGTAGACGCAGGGGAACAAAAGAGTGAGTGCCGAGTACCACGTGACACAACAGCAAAGTGCGCGATTTTCAAGAGAGCTGCAGTCACTCCGTTTGGGACATATGACAAAGAATCATGAGGATGAGAGACGACACGACGATAATCACTCGCGCCGATGTTTATACGCACGAGATGCCGAGCACGTCCGACAGGTGAGTGTACAACGTGCGTGCGTGTTCCACGAGTATATCATATGGACCGGCTGTGTGCATGTGTGTGTGTGTGTGTGTGTGTGTGTGTGTGCGTATATATGTATGTGTGCAAGCGTGCGTGATGTTACGCGTTCGTTACGTCGAGGTTACGAAGAGACTCCCCGG